TCAAGTAATTATTTATGGATTGCTTAACTAAAATCCCATTTATATTTTGTATTCCCAAAAAGATTTTAAATATTATAAATAATGAGAAGCAATATGGTTGGCTTTATAAATAAATAATTTCTTAAAAAATTTTCATTAGCCTTCAAGAATTTGCGCATGATCAAGTTAGTACAAATTTGAAAATAATCAAATTATTGTAAACATATTTATGAAATCAATTTCCTCGTTAATAATTAAAATTTATTCGTTTGTATAAATTAATTACAATGTAATGAAACTAAATAAAAACTCACCAAAAGATATATAAATTTATTAAGTGTGAATTAATAATTGTAATGTTAAAATATAATAATTCATATATACATAAATTTTTATTAAAATAAATATTATGTCAATTAAAAAAAAAATTCTTAAAAAAATAATTAAGTTATAAAATATGGTCCAGTACAAAAAAAAATTAGATAAATAAAAAGAATTATATTTCCAATTTCTAAAATACAACCAATAATACCTAATTGATTGTTTATAGCAGGGATGCGAACCCGACAAAATTTTTGCCCGGGTTCGGTTCGGGATATAAAAAAAAGGTGGGTTCGGTTCGGGTTCGGTTCAGGGAAATATTTTTGAACCCGGGTTTGGTTTGGGTTCGGTTCGGGTTCAAGAATTTTTGAGTTGATAAAAAAAATTCTATATTTAAATCATAATAAAAAACTAGACATAAATTTAATATAAAAAATAAATTTTTTATTTTATTTATAGGCAAATATAGTTAAAAATACAAAGCATATAGTCATGTATCAATTTTAAAAATTTTATTTAGACGTATTAGCATAATATCTTCCAAGAGTTGTTCACTCATCCTCGATCTATGTGGTGAAAGAATGAATTTCAAATGTGAAAAAGATCTTTCAACGCTAACCTATGTTAAATATATTTATATGTGAAAATATGAAAAATTAACTTGGGTTGCAGGAACAGCAAATAAGATTTTAGATAAAATATATAATTCAGGGTGTTCCAGCTTAGCAGACTCCCAAAAATGCAAAATATTTTCCTTCTTATCTAATCTTTTATAATCGCTAAATCCAGTAATTATTGTTCCAATACTTTTCTCAGCAATCGTTGGCCCTCTTTTAAGTATTTTCTCCTGCCTTTCTTTAAGTTGTATCAATTTCTCTAAATCATCTTCTTGTTCAATAACTTCATCGGAACTAATATCATCAGATAAAATCGGCGTTTTTAAGGTTTTTATTCGTCTCCATAAATTGACAAGATGTTTTTTCGGACAAATCTTATCATCATCACTAAGTAATACCTGTAATATTTTAGGATTTATATTGTTTATATTTAAATATTTTATAAAATAACAATTTTAATATAAACCTAAAATAATTAATTTACTAAGCTTTTAATTAACCTTGAATCTTGGGTCCAGGTATATGGCAGCTAAGAGAATTTCGTTCTTTATAAACCTTTCTTCTCTGTTCTTAAGACAAGAATATAGTAATTGAGCAAAATGGTTGGATTTTTTTCCAGTTCGATGCAGCATCTTAACCATGCTGCATAAAAATCTGTCAGTGTTAACTGTTCAGATTGGAATTGTTTGGTTGCGATTTTTAGCGGTTTTAAAATTTCAACAATCGTTATTATCTCTTTCCAATCTTCAGTCAATAAATAATCAGATTGCTCTGTAAAAAAATCTTCGATATTGGGTTTTAGTAAAATCAGCCTTTCTACCATATCATGGGTTGAATGCCATCTGTGGCAATCTAACACAGGCTTAGGGAGTTTCATATTTTTTAATAACTTTTGGTAAGTGGGATGTCTTAATTTTAAATTTAGGCTCCTAGCTTTTGCAATGGTTTCCACAATAGGTGATAATTTTATAGCATCTTGAAGTGCCAGCTGAAGTGTGTGAGCTGCACACCGTACACTATAAATCGGATAGGATATAATAGTTGATAAAAAAGTATTTTGTATATCATCAATATCATATTTATATACATTTACATCCATATTTTCCTCATCTGCTGATTCACTCCTTATATCATAATCAGTTTCAGGTTGCAGGAGCTTTATAGCTCTTAAAAAATTACAACCATTATCAGAAGTAATTGTGTATATTTGTTGAATATTAATTTTAAATTTTAGTAAAGTTTTTAATATATTCTCTTTTATATATTCTCCTGTACATCTCTCTTTCAGCTCTACAATTCCAAGAGTCCTCAAATTTATAATAGACTTTGATATAAATTGAATATTTACACCAAGAATTGACCTATCTAGTCGTTGAACTTCAACTTTTAAACTTATTAATTTTCCTTCTACCTCTCTCGATATTTTGTCTCTAATTGATTGGGCTGTTTTATTAATAGTTCCGGATAAATTTTCTTTGTTTATAACTAAATTGAGCCCAGATAGGAGTGGATTTATAATTCTTTGAAATCCCGAATCTTCAATAATTGATAAAAGGCCGGCCATTTACAGTAATAAGTTCTAGTATAGAACTCATCAAATCATTAGATGATATATTTATACTTATATGCTTTTTTGGAAAAAAGGTTTCTATATTAATTTTAGGTTTTTTTGCCAATAACAATTCCTGATATTTGGGTTTTTCATTTAAATAATTTAAATATTCATTGTTGTGATTTCTTTCCAGGTGTCTTTCTAAATTTGACAAGTGATTACCAGACATTTTTACTTTGCAATATGAACATATTGATTTTTTTTCTATTGTATTAAGGGTAAAATGCTTATCAAATATGACTTTATCTTTAATCTTAAATGATCTATAAAAAGAGAACAATTTTTTTAAATAGCAATGATTTCAGAATTAAAAAAGAGATATTTATAAATTTAATTTCATTTATAATATGCACTTCATTAATATCTTGTAAAAATTAAACTGAACCAAAAATAAATGATTAGCATATATAAATTTTAAAATCATTTTAATAAGTTCACAAAAACTGTCCTACATTTAACAATTTTTAAGTTAGATGTTTAGAATTTTTTAAATTAACAATATAATAATTTTTACTTTGATTTGTTAACCATTTTCTTCTAATTAATAATCTTTAAGAATAATAAGATAAAATTTTAAAAATAAATGGCGTAAATTAATTCAATTGTTTAAAATTTTTTAACACTCCAATAGGAATCGAGAATAAATTTAAAAATGGCATAAATGAATTAAGTTGTTTAAAATTTATTAAGACTTCATTTAATTGGAAATTTGAAAATATAATATTTGTATTTACATATATTAATATATGATTTTAAATAATACACTGAACCCGATTGAACCCGGGTTCAAATAAAATTCTTGGGTTCGGTTCGGGGTTTTGAAAATTTTATAAATGGGGTTCAGGTTCGGTTCGGGTTCAGAGTTTTTTTCTAAAAACCCGGATTCACTTCTCCGGGTTCGGGTTCGGTTCGAATCCCTGGTTTATAGTATCTATTTGAAGTGAAAAAAAATCTGATTAATATAATATACAACTGTTCATAAACAAAAATAAATAAATATAAGTCTGCATCTACATTCCTGAATTGATTTATGCATCTGTGAGTGATGGATCACAATATTTAAAAAAAATATATTATTGCTTTCCCCCTTGCCCAAATTTTCTGGGGAAAAAACTATTCATGTAGACATGATCCTAACATTATTATTACTATTGGTACTAGTCGGCCTATCGATATCTCCGCTCTGTTTATTATCCATTAAAGCCACCTCTTTCAATCGTTCGTTTTTTTCCATCATATTATTTCTTGCGTCGAGTTCATTATTGGTCATCGAACTTCCGTATAATAATGCGTTTGTGGCATAGGGTTAAATGGCTCGTTATAAGAGTTATAGGTACATCGTGGCGAATAAATATTGGGAAAATGTATGGGCTAAGTATCGATCGTGACCTCGTTCCTTTGTTCATGCTGCGCAATTTGGTGTAAGCTTCTATCCTCATTTTCGTTGTTCACTAAATTTAACGAATTGACGGGGTAATGGTTTGAAGGATTTTCTGAAATCATGAGTGAACCCCCATTTTCATTATTAGCTTGGTTTATCAATAAAGAGTTGGAAGGATAAATACTAGAAAGATTTTGTCGATGAGATATAGACGAGTGTCTACTCTCCTTAATAACATTTAAATTAAACGATTTCGAGGGATGGTAAGGAGTGACTAGGCCAGGGGGAGGCGAATTTCTGTCGATATAAGATGGCAACATATTGCAGTGGTTTTGAGTATTATTGGAATTGGAGGTAAGATTATGTTGCTGATAACTGTAAAGATAAGAGTTGAGTTTTTCTAAGCTGGGTATACGAGGAGGCATAGTTTCTAATTGGTAATCTGATTTTTTTTAAATAAAGTAGATAAACATATAGTAAATTTCGGGTACATTTAAAACTTTCTTAATTTCTTTTGCCATTTTTAAAATGCAATTCTCTAAGACAATTTTAATAAAAAAAATTAAAATAAAGCTTACAAGAATATTCTTAAAAATTTTTTTTTATTTGTCCCATAACTTTTAACAGTTTATTGCATGTATGGGAATATTTCTAACTATAATTGTTTTTTCTCGAGCATATACTTCAATGAACAGTTCAGTTCAATACGGTATCAATGAAACAGATTTAGGTCAGTCACCTAACAAATTGTCTAAATCAATATTTCAAATGATCAAATATCAGATTATATAATATTACCTTGATTATATGGGATACGATGTGATATGGATGAATACTTATTAAAATGGCTGATTGATTTTGCTGCAAGAGGCATGGTTGAAAAACTATAACAAAAATCAATCAATAACATTTCAATAAATAAAACTTAACTACATTACACCAAATTAATCCAATCTTAATGAAGAAAAAAACTACCCTTTTTATAATATTTATTTTTAAAATCAAATATCAGAATAATGTTCATATTTATATTGCATATCCAACAAACAAATATATATTATTATTCAGTTAATTTATAAATTTTCTATCATCATCGTGATGAATCTGTGGGAGGAACATTAGGAGTACTTTCGCTGTTTTCCCTAACTTTATTATTCAAAGCGTCGTTGGGTGGTAGCGATAATGGGTTCTGAGATGTTTGTGGGTATAGTTGCTATTAAAATAGATGTAAGGAATGATTTATAACTCAAAAAGATTCTTAGAGTAGCTTAATATTAAAACATGTTAATTTTGTGAGATATATAGTTAAGGCAATGAGATCACAGAGAGGTGTTATCATAATAGTGCTGCGATTCAAATAAAACAAAAAAGTATTCATCGAATTATTATATTTAAAATTTCCGAATATTAAAATCAGATTTGAATCAGAGACCTTTATGGTGTTAAGGCTATCACATGTATGGATACCTTTAATTAATGAGAGTCAATCTAATAGTATTTATATCAAGGGATGTGAATCCAGACCTGCAACCTCCTGAGTCCTCGTATTTTTGTTAGCCCAACCCCTGACTGTTCTTAAAAGTGGAGATTTTAGATGTCAAAAAATATTAAAAAAAATTTAAATAATATTTATTTTTTTTAAAATTCATGAAAAATAAATTCAATTTTTTTTTTCGTGGAATCATTTTTCAAGCATTTTTTGGTCTTTATACTTCCATTTTATAGGTAATAATTGATTATAAATGCTATTTTAGGCTAATAATATAATATGAATTGTAAATTTTTAATGTAGGTAATAATCAGACCTGTTAATCGATCCTTTTAAAAGGACGGAATCCTGATCACGATCATTTCCAAAAAAAAAGGATTGAAATACAGGATCCACCTTTTTGAAAAATATATTTTGTAAATTTCTGAAGAAAATTTATGCTTGATGTAAAATTTACTAATATGAAAATTAATTAAATATATTCTAATAGAATATTATAACAATATTTATTTATACTAATAATTACTTACCCATTAAATAATAAAAAAAATTCTAAATTATTGTCAATCAAACATCCATGTCTTTCAATAACAAATTTAGCTTTACTAAACAAGCGCTTTTTTAAAATTTATATCAAGTATTATTAATTGAATCATCATGTGAATTTTAAAAAAAATTATTAGGAAAAGCGCATTTGAGAAAAGTTTATCCAAATGAAAGTATCAGTTTTATCAATACAACCACATTTGAATAAGCATCTGCATGTGATTAATCATACAGGTTTTCCAAATGGGTAATAAACCTTTTTTTTTACCAACAGATTTTTTGGCAGATTCATATAAGGTTAATTAAACTTAAATTGAAAAAATCTCTATTTTAAGAAATGATAATTAACATTATTATACGGTACAGAGATGAAGAAAAGGTAAAGGTTCTCATTTATATCTGTCACTTCTATAACTGTATGTGTAATTTCTTATAGATCTACAATAGACATTAGTAAATATCTAAAAATACTTTATTTTTAATTCAATAAATAAAATGTAAGTTGTAAATAAAATGTAAGTTGTAAATAAAATGTAAATTGTAAATAAAATGTAAGTTGTAAATAAAATTCGCAAATGTTATCTTGATAAAATTTATGAGAAAAATAAAAAATATGGCGGAGGATGCTAAAGTTTGATGGAGATAGATTTTTTTTGAAAAAATATTTTATTTTACATATTTATATACTCATTAAGAAAAATAAAATTTTTCAAAAGGATCGAATATTTAACAAAATGATCTCAATCACCATCCTCAATTTAAGAGATATCAATAAATCCGGGTAAATTGTCAAAATTAGGATCGAATTTATGATCGTCAATCCTTTGATCTTGATCCCTTAACCTGGAATATAATATTTTATTATAAATGAATTAAGGCTAAGATTTTTTGGGGAGGAAATTAAAAATGGGGAGTATTTTACTTATAAATTTTTTTAAATGTTTTTATAAAATATGGAGCAGTAACAAAATTGGATTAAGATTGAGTTATAATATAAATTATAATTGTCAAGTATTTATTTGAAAATTATTCAGTATTTTTTACAGTACATCATTTTAAATGTAGTATAAAAAATAAATAAATGAAAAGAAAAAAAATTGTGTTATTTTGAGCCAATATTTCTTTATGTTCTCCAAACCCTGAAACGAGAATTTTTTTTAAATTTTATTCCTTTAACCAGGACCCCTTTTTGTCGAAGTGTTCACATCCCTGATATATACATTATTAGGTCTAATTTTAGGCAAAATTATTATATAATAATTATTAGTGACCTGCAGGCCCGACCCGTATTTTAATTTTTTTAAATTTACCCAGGCCTGGCTGGGCCTGAAATTTTTTTTAAAAAAAAATATCTGGGCCGGGCGGTATATTTTAAAACCAAATATTTGAAATAGCCATTATTAGCTGTAAAAATCAAAAATAAATAAAATATATCTTTAAAAAATCCGGGCCGGGCGGTACAAATGGTACCTCTGCAGGTCACTGATAATTATTAATTCAAATTATAAAATTAAAAAAAAATTAATTAATTTTTTAACTAACTTGTACAAAATCGTTAGGATTAAATTCGGATTTAATGGCAGATGAGTCAAAACCTAAATGAGAAGTGTTAGGTAATGCATTGGAATCGTTGTTAACGTCTCCTCTTTAAAATTTGACATTTAAAAGATGAAAAAAAAATTATCGAAATCTTTAAAAATGTGGTAGAAATTGAAAAAAAATTTTAACGAAATTTAGTAATTCGTATAAAACATTTTTAATTCATTTGTAGAACTATACATTTAAAATTATTTTGCGTTACCCATATGAATCGATTTGGCTCATGTTATTCGCAGAAATGAAGGAACTCGAATTCACTGTTGTATCACATGTTTTATTATTATTGTGATTATTGCCATTATTTGAGCTAGCATACCCAACCCGAGCTCTCCTTTTGTTAAATAAAAAAGGTGTATGTTGGTATTATACTAGAGATAGGAATGCACATAATGAGAAAATAATGCTTTTTTCTTCATTTTTAAAGATTTAAATGTTTAAACAAGTATGAATCAATAATACAAACTTGCTAGTCTTAGAGTACTGGTAACCGCTTTCCCTAACCACTTGCCTGGCCAGGGGAAAAAGTTCATCGCGACGAGTCAAAAGTTCGGGTCTTTTAATGCAGATCTCCATGGCGGCTTCGTTTACGTATAACTAAAATATAAAAATAAATAGATTTCACCGGGTTAAAATAATGAAGTGGGTATTGGTATCATACCCCTTAATTCTATGTTCGAATTTAGGTATATGAAACATAATGACATTTCAGAATTAGGGTTAGGTTAATTTTAGAAAATGGTGACCATTATATTCTTAAATTTGAAAAATGATGAAACTTCAGAACAATTCAACTTTTGAACTACTCAGTTTATATTAATATTTATAAAATAGATATTTATAAAATAGATTTTTCATTTAAATTTTAAAAAAATACATAAAAATTTATGGCGAAATTCTCCAAAATCTAAAGAGTAGGTTATTCTAAACAAGTTGGAATAAAACCAGTAAAATTAAATTTGAGATTCAAGTCAGAATTCCGAATAAGTTATTACTTTTACATATATATATATATATATATATATATATATATATAGATACTAATTCAATTTTATCAAAAAAAATAGTATATCTAAACTTCATGAAGAGACATGGGTTTTTCTTTACGCTTAGAATCAAATCTGCCATATATAGCACCAAACATGCGCACTTTATTCTCCCAATCATTGTTTCGATCTGTTGAGTTTATTAGGTCCTAAAATGTGAGAGTTAACAATTTTAATATTTAAAAATATATGGACATAAAATCAAGAAATATATTTAAATATTTTATATAATATTACAAAGATGTTATAAAATGATAAAATAATATTAAATTATTAAAATATATGATTAAATTATAATATGTTCTTTTAGTATTAAAATTTTTGTAGGAAATAGAATGAAAGGCAAAAATTATTGGCTTAAATGATCTTAGGCTTAACCAATATTGTGTTTCATATAATTGAATACCCCATGATAAAATTATTGCTAATTAAAAATAAATCATTATATTTTTATAATTCAATTTATTTTTGACATTTCCCCTTCCCATTACATCTATCTCCTTGTTAATGGGTTTTTTGGTGTTAAGGTTCTTTGGAGTGTAAGGAGGTAAAGTTGCGATGAGTGATATGACGTTGGCTTTTATTTTTTCCTTCTCCTCTCCCAATAAAACAGCTTTGACCATGCTAGTATTAGACAAAAGGTTACTAGATATTTTTTGCGGAGCATTGTCTGATGAGGTGGGATCTTCTGAGGCAGGTGGGGTAGTGTGGGCTGTTGTAAATAAATCTATACCCTAAATAAATATAAAAAATAGAAGCATTGTCTACAAGCACCAGAGTTGTTTAAAATAATATTGTATCTGTATCATCTAGATATATTTTTTAGCTATATAGATATATATTTGTAGATATATTATGATACAATTTTATCTTGCGTTTTTTATTACTAAAATATTTAAAAGGTATCCTAAATGTATCTGCATTTCGATATATTTTTTGATCATGCATCTGTGTTAGAGATCTGTAAAGCCCAGTTAGGCTTGTGGGCCGAGGCTGGACCGAAAATTTTAAATCGTGATTATTGTATAAATTCTATATATACAATCAAATATATTTATTATATATATAAATTGTTGTATATATGGATTTCTCATATTTCCTATATCATTTTAAAACAATTTTATCTAAAAAATTTTATACACTCAGGCAGGGCCGAAAATTTTATTTAAAAATTAGGTCGAATGAAGAAATTTCGTGCCGGGCCTAAATTTTTTATAAATCCGGGGCTTGCAATTGGTACCTCTGCAGGTCTCCGATATATATAAAATCGGTCTGGCACTGTGCCTGGCATATTTCCATAAAAACCTCAATGGGTCATCCAAGACCTAAAAATTTTAAAATTTCAAAGCGAATTTCTTTGTATTGAGCTGTTTAACTGATATACTAAACCTATGAATAAAATAATAAATCCACAAAAAATTAAACAAGTTATTTATGATACGAAATATGAATCGAGTTGTGCCGATATTAAATTTTAGATAGGATTAGTGCCGATATTTGGCGTTTTAAAAAAATATCAGATCAGGCCAATATTTTATGACCTATATGATATTTTTACTGATTTGTGTTATTTCATGATTTTTTTTATATTAAAAATAACATATAAACTATTTATAAAATAATTTTGATATAAATTTATTAAAATAAAATTTTAAAACCATACAAAAAAATAGATATTAAACAAAAAAAATTTCTATAAAAGTTTGACCTGCATGTTTCTAAGCAAATGTTCCGGCGCAAATATAAATATTCTTTTGATTGCGATCCTAAAGAATTCATATATCTGCGCCAGAATATTGGCTTAGAAATCTGCAGCTATTTTTTTTAAATATGGACTTGAAATTTTATTTTAATATGGTTTTTCTTATTATATATGTTAGCGTCAATGTTTTTTTTCCGACAATGTATTATTTTTTCAACTTTAAATCATTTTTTGAGCGCTTTTTTAAAAATCTGATTTTACAGGAAATATATGCCGTCATGTGTGGAATACCCACCCTATGAATTTAAGACAATTTTTCTATGAATATTTGAACTTAATTTAATTCATAATAGATTTCCATAAATTTTTCATAAAATTAAAATGCTACTTTATACTAGAAGGTTTGATTAAACAACAAATGCATAGATGTACTGTAAATGTTTAGGTAAAAAGGTTCATATATACTCTATTAATTGATATGAGATTCATTTTCTTATGATATAAATAAGTTATAAAAATTGAATAACTTCAATAATAAAGTAAAAATCTATAAAATTATATTTATAAAAAATAAAATTAAAATATATAATTCAATAATATTCAACTCGCAAGTTGGCGTTTATAGCTTTTAAATACTTATTTTAATGTATAAAAGTATTATTATAAATTTTTTATCCTATTAAAGCTAAACGAAAAATAAAGTAATATCTACATATAAAAGTAAAAGGTTATTCGCCGGTAAGTATCAAGTGAACCTTTAATTACGATTTTTTATTATTATTTGATCCTGAAATATCTAAAAGTACTATAATAAATTCTTTATACAGATTTATAAGATATGTCATTCGTTAGAATCATAAATAGTTCGGAAACAATAAAAAACATTTATTCATCTTACCTTTTTTTACAGGTAATGATATACACTGAATGTTATTCATTTACTTATCTGCTTTATTAAAGTTTTATTTTATATTTGACTGTATATGTTAATTTATTTAATCGTTTATTTTGAATGATAGAAAATTTATAATAATAATTTTATATATTTAAGTAATGTTTTTAAAAGCAATAAACGCAAACTTGTGAATTAAATATTTTAATTTATTTTTTTTAATATAAATATAAGATTTTAAACATATATTAATGGATTAAATGAAATATAATTATTAATTTATATTTTATTTTTGAATAAATGTAGTAGCTTAATTTTTATAATATGTTTATATCTTAAGAAAATGAAACTCATATCAATTAATAGAGTATTTAAAAACATATTTACCTTAACATTTGCAGTTTATCTTGTCATTTGGAGTTTAGCCAAACCCTGTCTTCAATAAAAAAGAAAGAATCTATCAAACTATAGAAGAAATGACACTAATAAAGATTATTTACAGCAGACTTAAATTTAAAGATTATATATAAAAAATATTTGAATAAGTGTAGAACAAAAAAACTAAATCAATTTTAATGCTCCATACCTAATCAGATATGTTGGATTATAGGGTTAATCATCCCAAAAAATTAAAATTCTTCAAGGGAATAACGAAATATCTATCGAATGAAAAAGAGGCCGTCATGAAATCCCTTGCCCTAAATGTTTTGGCACTCCATAATTTAAATATTTCATCTTTTTTATAAACGAATAATTAAACACACTTATAGCCTAACAGCGCACTGCAATATCAGCAAAGGGGTTTATTGTGCAATATGGCCAGAAGTAGTGTTGTTAAACGACTCGATTTGAGCCTATTTTTAATAACGGCTAACTCGATATTTTATCCAGAAAAATATTACTCAAGCCTTAAGATTTTGCTCACAGATGGCACAAAGGTTTAGACATCTATTAGCGCAATCTGGAGCCTTAGGCAATATTTCTTTAACTAATATTGAGTTACCCGTTTTTAAAAATCGGCTCAAAATGAGCCGTTTAACAACACTAGCCAGAAGGAATATCACGAGGCAACGGAAACGATGCGGTCTTTGCTTTGAAATTTTTTAAACAAATATTTCAAGATCTTCCTCATGTTAAATAAAAATATTTTATTGTAAGATTCGTGCGTTGAAAAATCGAAACACTATAATGTCCTTTGCTTTATACTATATTTTTTGATAAATTATACTTCAATTATAAGTATTTTGCGAATATTTTCTGAAATGAGGAAGGATATTCAAATATACAATGAAAAAAGGATAAAATAATATAAAAATATTTTTCATATTAAATAAATTTTAAAACATTATTTTTGAAAAAAAATTAAAATATGGGATATTTTTTAATATATTTAATAAAATATGAAAAATGTGGCAGAATTGTGGTAGTTGAGTGTAGAAAATTTTGACTTTTTTTAAAAAATAGATGGTATTCTACTAGTCAATGTAAAAAATAAATAATTGAAAAAAATAGCACGCTATTAGCTATCCCTACCAAAAAATATATGGCGCTAATTTACAACACTGATCACAATATCATTCATAAATGAAAATTCATTGCGTCAATTTATTAATAATTTGTTCTGTGTTGTGGATTAGATCTCGTTGAGTAAAGCTAGTCTATTAAATTAATTTTAAGATTACTTTGATTTAGGTTTTTATTCTCTGTATTTGTGCTTGTAATAATTTGGTATCATTGCCAAAATATACAGTAATTTTAATATATTTGGAAAACTTATAAATTATATTTTAAAGTATGCAATGCTTCCACTGTCTTTCTTTCTCTACAAAAAATGAATCTCTCATACCATTTAAATTCTGAAATTATTTGGCCTTTAGATACATTTATATCCTATGAATAATAAATATCTAATAATACTAAAATTTGATATATCCTCAGATGAAGGGGAGTTATAAGATATAGTATTTGTAAATTGGATAGAACCATTTGATAAATCACAAATCGTTTATTGATTTGATATACCTAAAACGAATTATGTTATTGGATATTCGATTCGATTTAATTCGGTATTTTATGAATACAATAAAAGAATTATTCGATTCAAAAATTCGAATCGAATTTAAATAAGGAAAATATATTTTTCGTCGAATAATTTTTTATTTATTATTCGATCGAGTTATACGAGATTATTGACTAAAATAAATTATTGTATTAATAAATATTGGAAAATAATCATATATTACATAGGAATTATTTGAAATTATTCCTGTTTTATAAAATTTCTTAGAATAATGAAGAAACATTTTATATTTCTAAAATTTTTGTTGTTATTATTCGAATAAATTCATAATACAAAATTAACTTCTGAAAATTTTGGACGAAGAAAGTATTTATTTTTATAGCAATTTATAACATATATACAATTATTATAAACTAGTAGCTATCCCGTCAAGAATGACGGGTGAACCAGATATTTCTCCTTCGTTTGATGAAGGAGAAATCATAAATTTGACTTTTGGACTAAAATTATTACCACTTTATTTGTAAAATATTGCTAGATGTAAGTTTTTCATGCCTTATTTTAGAATATTATCCCAGATTTAAATTGGAATTTTTTAAGTGCCTACCTCTGTTTTATAATATCAACGTTACAACTATATTAAATAATTTTAAAATAATGTTAAATTATAAAATAAAATATAATGTATGAAAATGTTCGATGATTATTAAACAAAATATAATATATCATTCAGTCAACCATTAATACAATTAAATATGGACGTAATTTTTAAACAGAATGTCTTGCCAATTTCTGAAGTTTAAACATATTTAAAAGATGCGAGAATCACGTCGAATAAAACACACTATAATGGTGGACGGAGATCGTTTTCCCGTTTTATCTAAAATGGCGAGAGACATATTATCAATACAAGAATCTTCAATCCCATGTGAGGGACTCTTTTCTGTTGGAGCGCATATGTTACCATAGAATGTCGTTAAAAGAGGATACAATCCGAAAAACTTTGTGTTTAAAAAATTAGTTGTTGTCAGATTTGCCTTCTACATTATATGAATATTATATTATTTTTCTACATTATATATAAATATACTA